GCACAACCTCATGGGAGTATGTTTGAACCATTTATACGTTTGAACCATTTCAAGCGTCTTGCTTGAAGTTAACGCCCTATAAATCAAAGCGACAAATTACCGCCTCGCTAAGTAGCTCTGGGCTTAAGTTTGTGGCGATTATTATAGAATTGCAGATCATTTGAGCTATTTTTGTAGTTTACATCATCTCTGGCTGTCAAGGCAAAATGGCAAGAAAAAAGCTGTGCAAACATCTCCCTTGAGGAGAATTGCTCTAAGGTTTGCTTGACACGGTGACACTGAACCGTAGCGTAAACAGAACGTAGATGAAAAGAAGCTCAAAGGTGAGCCTTCTTCAAATAGTGCAAGCCTTTTTGCTCAGTGTCAAATGAACCCTGTTACTGGAATCAAAGTGCTGACACCTAGAATCAGAGTTCGGTTCCAGTAAGAGGGCTGTTCTAAATTGGATCCTCTGGGCAGATGACTTCAGTTAGAGTCATGAGCTCCAGGATGCTATTAGATGTGAAAACGTCGTTAGATATCGACTGAATAATGCCTCAACTGCCACAAAATGTTAGGAAATCCGGTAATCTTTCGCTTTTTGAAACTTATAAGGAAAGCTACTTAGTTTAGCTCGGCCTTTTGGTAAAAGGCATACATATGCTGAATCCGCTTTACACCTTGATTCCAAATACGCTTTTTCTAGCTGCCGCGCACCATTCCGAAGCGAGTTTTGGGCTTTTTCTGCGTAAAATTTGCACAAAACTGAACATGGGAAGACTTCCTGTAGATAGAAATGTGCAAAAAAAGGTGCTGAAATATCGAAACAACAAAAATCCAATCTTTTCTCACTAAAAGCTCAATGCAAGTGCATGAGAGCCTTTAGATGATGATGCCGTGATGTCAGTGAGCCGATGAGTATGTTAAAGTTGCGTAGGAGAAAACCCAAAACTCGCTTCGAAATGGTGCGCGGCGGCTAGGAATAGCATATTCGGAATCAGCTTTACGGCTGATTCAGAATATGTATGTCACTTGCCAAAAGGCGGAGCTAAATTAGGTAACCTTTGATTCAACTGGATTGGTAGATGGATGGTGGCGGGGCTTTGTGACCTAATTAAGGCCGCTCGCGCGCGCGTGTCCTCTGACCATACTCTAGCTTGACAAAGTCACGCGAAGCCCCGCCTTCTAGTGCCAATCCAGTTGAATCAAAGGGTAGCTTCCCTTGTTAGATGTGTCAAAGGGCTGATAATGGGTGTCATACTCAGCTTTCTAGAGGCAGTCTTTTAGTTTTGGGTTTTAAAATTTAGTAACAACGCCCAACAAGGAAGGGCTATGAAGTATTCACAAAAAAAACGACTTTCAAATAATCGCAAACTCTACATAAAAACTTGGAAATACAGTCAAAAGACTTACACCTTACTTGAGAGTGGTGGAGGACTTATCCAAAGATTATACAGAAACTAACAGCTAGACTTGCGAAAAGCATTTCTGCCGAATAGGCGAGCAGCCGGAAGAGAATTTGAAGCAGATTTCAAATTCAGATGCGAGATATCAGTAGGAGTTCGACGTTTATATAAACCAATCAGAAGCCATCGATGCGGACCAAAAGATCTAAGCAAGTAAATGTTGATATGACAGAGAGGGGAGCTGACGTTGCCTTCGCTGCTTACAATTTCATGATTTCTTTTTTGAACTGGATATCCTTGGCAAAATACAGTCTACGTACTGAACCAGAAGAGCCGCCATGGTGGAACTTCTTCATAATATGTGCTTGCATCAATGGTTAAGGTGATGTGTTGGCCAGAGAAAAATGCAAACAAGATGCACTGGTTTTGGGATCAAACTTACATTGACCACCAATAACATCAAGAAGGTAAAGGTTATTTCCAGAGCACAAGCTTGTCGTGGGACTAGCGAGCTTATATCTTATGTCTCATGCCATGCTGCCGGGTTGATTACTATCGCCCCTGAAGTGGGAAATAGAGTATGACGAGAACGGAATAGTCACTCTAAAATCGTGATAGATTCGAATTAACGAACTTTGCCATTTGTGCAGGACAGGTGAAAGTCGATCAAGCTAAATCCACCACAGTATAGAAAGGGTCAAACAAGGGGTGTGGCACACGATCGCTGGTTACGACCCCCCCCCCCCCCTGATTGCTGTCTTAATAAGACCCCCCCCCCCCCCCCTGAACTATATACCTAAGATAGCATTACCAGAGTTGAAAAAGAGGTCAGGCACAAGTCTTTCGAAAACACCCCCCCCCCCCCCATGAAAGCCCTCAAACGACCCGTTCTTCCTCCTCTTAACCTCTGGACCTCAAAGTGTGACATTCTGGAGGACACCACTTTTTCTAGAGAGTTTTCAGATTTCTGAGAGCTGTACGCCCGATTTTCTGTGACTGCACTTTACAATCACACGTAATTTGACGGCTGATTTTGATCTGAATGGGCATATTGAAAGGGCCATAATTTTCTTATGGGTGGGGCGTTCGGCTCCAAATTTCCAGTGTAGCAAGAAGAAGCTATGTGCTCAATACTCATACCAGCAATGGAGCGCTTTCTGGATTTTGAAGGCAAGTTAAGGGGGTGTGCCGCACCCCATTAACTATATCAAAAAAACATTTTTAGCGGACAGTATTTATATGAATCGATAGCCTAAACTTTGTAGATTCCATAGGACTGTTTGGAGCCTGATTCGTCTTCTTAGCTCTGAGTAATATTTGGTGAAAGCACAGCGATCAAAAGCGAAAAATGGGAAAAACGAGATTTTGGTTGGCTTCTAATTCCACATTTTTTGCAGGTCTTCTGAAGCGGAATTCCTGAGGTGGACAAAGAAGGAGTAGTGCTTTCTCTTGAGTGCAAAAACGGATAGATAATTCACCTTTGAAATAAAGTTAACCATGTTGGAATTTGACCATTTCATTTAGGTAGCCTAGTATCTTGAATCTTCAGAATTCGCTCACACATTGTCTACAGGGGTTAATTGACATGCTAATTATGCATATGATACAAATATCATGTTATCACTATTATCAGATTACCCAACTACGACCCCCTCCCCTTTTGACTCCTCAATACGACCCCCCGGCGCTTGACCCTGAGTATAGCTTTGCGATGCTTGTTCGTCGCGTTAGAGCAGAGTGATACAACAACGATTTGAACACCGAATCTTATAGCCGAATGTCTGTTTGTCTGTCTCTATGTCTGTCTGTGTGTGGTACGTATGTTCCGAATAGAAAATTCCATTTCGGAACCGATCCGGACCAAACTTGGCACACATACATTTCGGGGTGGGGCGGTGTCGTAGGCTACTTTTCTCATTGATCGTTATCAAATTTATCGATTTTTTTTGATAAGTTTGAGCTGCGGGGATATAGGGGCCTGCAGGATCGCGAGAGTCGGGACGCGCGTACGGCCTTTGCGCCGCGCACGCCTGATATCGCTGGGTCGTAGTCGATTAAGGCTAGATAGGTAAGTTTTTTTTGTTTTTCTTTACATTTCACGCCTTCTTTTCTTTTCAGACGGTGGGCACATGTTGGGGCGGAGGAGTTTAAGATCTGAATTAAGGTGAGGTGCAGGATTATGCTCAATACGGACTCGATATTGCAGACCTTCCATGCCTGCTGGTTGAGATGTTGGATTTTCTGTCCTGGCTGCCCTGTTACAGCAAACTGTTCTATTTCTACCGTCTATTCTACCTTATCTTGCATATTGCTTGTGATGATGATGATGATGATGACAATGATTACGATTGTGATGACGCGCATGATGCAAGATGAGGTAGAACAGACGTTGCAAATAAAACGGAGTTTCGTAACCGGGCAGGCACGACGAAAAATCGAACATAATCGGACAGCGAGAACAGAAAACTCAACATTCTTCAAAGCAGGGGTGAAAAGTCCACAATATTGGCCCGTATTGAGCATAATCCTGCACCTCACCTTAATCTAGATCTTAAACTCCTCTGCACCAACATATGTTCGCCGCCTGAAAAGAAAAGAAGGCGAGAAATGAGAAGAAAAACAAAAAAATCTCACCTATTCAGCCTAAATCGAGTACGACCCAGTGACATACGACGTGCGCGGCGCAATGGCCGTACGCACGTCCGACTCTCGCGATCCTGCAGGCCCCTATACTAGGGTAATCGGCATGCCGATTACGAAAACAATATTAGTTTTTACACATCTATTTTTGCAAAGTCTGAGCTACAGGGGCTGCTCAAATAATCGGCAAGGGCAGGCGACCATGCAATTTGTGGGCAGGGGGGCACCGGAAAGATAGTGCGGTGATTTCTTCCAGGCCGCTTGCAGATATTTGGGAGAATGTTGGCGAAATTTTAGGTGAATGCTGAGAGAACAATTGCGGCCTATTCATGGGTTACTTGCGGCGCAGTGGCCGCATTCTCGCAGACTTTCCGCGAGAATATGCAAAATTATTGAAAAATTCAAAATCTTTTGTGAAGGACCGCGCAGCCCGTATTTACCTCCGTTGAGAGGAAGTTTCTTAAACCTGATAATTGAATCATCGATGACGCCTCTACCACATAGAGTCTCACCTTTGCTCGATGTCTGCCTGAAACTGCGTAAAAAGAGTCCGAGCGCCTGCTGAAAGTTTGGCCAGCGTTTGCCGAAAGGATTAATTGATAGCGATTACAGAAAATTCTGTATTGCTGCCCGCTGGCAGAACACGGAATCACCGCTCGCTGAAAGTTTGGCCACGCCCTGCAATTTTGCTGACTGCCTGCAGAAAAGCGCGAGTTTGCGGACCGCCTGTCCCGGCGATTATCGAGTTTGTACACTGCACTCCATTCAATCCGCACACTCATTCAAGTCTAAAGACAACTTTGCAGCTGAATCTTCTTTGAGAATCTTATGTTTCAACAATACATACTCATTATCAGACGGTAGACAAAAATATAACTTTTTATTTTAACCATTTAACACTGCGAGGTCTCTGGTGAAAATCCATGCCAGACATAACTTGAACATAAGACACTTTTTATAAAATCCTGTCTACATCTACTTCGTGTCACTTGAACTGCATTGTTCCTTTACCTGAACTCCGAATAGATCAGAATAGATCAGCTATCCGCATAGCGCGTCGTTGGGTTTTTCATGCATGAGAGACTATGTTCAGCAAGCACACTACGAACACTGATAAAATGCTAGCGCGGTGACTTGGCTCAGAAATCATGTTGTCATTCGTTTCAGCATTGGAAAGAAGGCGGTCTTCTTACTTGATCACGCTGGGAAGTAGCGGCAATTTCTGACCAAGTGTCCACAAGAGGTCATATGCCAAGAATGCAGAGCTTGTCATCAGCGATTAATAATGCAATGATAGCATATCTTACCGATAGTACGACTTTGAGCATTTGTATTTTGACACCATTTTTATCGGCTTCTTTAAAAAGCTTTACCAAATTGCATTTCAAATCATCGATGGGTAAGTATTGAATGAGTAATCGATCTTGACGTGCAGGACCTAAAGAGCAAGCTGTTAAACCTTTATTGAACATCTTGCAAACGCCCACCAAAATGTCGTGTGACTACCATACTTTTACACTGGCCAGTTTCTACTACTTGATAGACTGGATGAACTCGATATAAATTGTTGTTGCTGCATCGGACCTAAAGCGTCCGGTGTCTTTCGGGAAAGACTTAATAGGTTGGCTCAAGGAAGAAAGTGCGAACTTTTATGGCTAAATCCTTGCCGCCGAGATTGACCAGCATATGTTCTGACTTCCCTCCAGCGACTGTAAACTTTGCAACCTGCAAGAAATCAACTCTTGATGAAGCAGATTGAAGTGTCTGCTTCCTACCTCGGGATCAACAGATAGGGCCTGCTCGTTCGCCTTGATCGAACTAGTCGATTTCTCAGCACGTTTGTCGCTCATGCACAAGTAGATGAAGAGTGAGGATTAATGGAGAGGAAAGTTGTTTAACTGTGTCCTCTCACCGTCGGTGAGCATATAAAATAGGAATTAGTTGACGAGTGAACCATTCTTACATTTGGATTAGCACTATTTTGGTCATTAAACTCATTGATCATTTTTTACGAGACAGCAATTCACCTTGGTCGGATTGCCAATCTGCAGTTTTTTCCACTCTTCCTCTCTATTTTCTTGAATAAAGATATGCAAAGTGATTCTTGAATGCGGAGCTAGTACACTAAAAAAAGTCTGGATAGCAACGCTGGATAGGGTGCATACAAAAGCAGCTTGAGATGAAAGCCCGATTTTCAATCCTGTGAGGGCTATATGAATACTGTGTGTAACAGCGCAGTAGAAACCGAAGATGTTAGAAGTAGCAAGCACTTCAAGAAGGGCTAAACTAAATCGTAAGGATAACAATGGAGAGATCAGTTCTTCTCGCTTTTCGAAAATTCAAGCTTCTTCTGTAAGCCCCAGCCAAACTTCAATCTTCAGTTGGTTTGCTTTCCTTCGATTCTACGTCACATGCTCAGCAATCTTTAGCGAAGAAAACCGCAAAATTCTTTTATGCATTCGATGAACCCTTTCGAAGAGTTCCTTGTGTTTGTAGTGCGTTATATACTTTGGTATCGTTCGTCACATCATGAAAAGAGACATTTACTTGCATGTTTTATAAGGCGAAGTGGGTTTATGATTCTTCACAGTGCGAAAAAAATCTATTGCAGGTTATAAATACGATACAAATTCAAGATAACCAATTCATTGCTGTTCGGCACAGAGGTTCACTGTTTTACGATACGTGTAAAATCCCGGGATTGCGTGGACGCCTTCACTGATTGAAGAAACGTCTCTTAATGTTTTCCACCGATCTTGTATCCTGTAAACGAGAATTCGCAAGCAAGAGAGAGGTAACAGTTGTGAGCTTACGCTCTGAAAAAGATCGTCATCCCACTCCCTGAATTTCGCTTTGAAAGATCCTGGTTCACTTCCCTGGTATATTGTAACAATGTTGGTGCCTGCATGGCGTGGAAGCGCTTTTTGTTGAAGATACCTCTGAAATTATGGTTCTAAACACAAAAACATCGAAGATCAAGATACCTCCGCTAAATTTGTGGCTCCTTCTTTTTCCTGCTCACTCGCACCCGCTCCAATCCAGACATAAATTTGATCGTAGGTGTCCAATAGCATGACATCGTCTCCATCCAAGCTCTATCAGTGATACTGCTTTTAAATAAGTCACAACAATCGTTAGAGCCACCTCCTGATTGAAATTTTCTATCTCCTCAATGACCAATTTCCCACTGTGGTCGCATATTTGGTAAAGCCGAGGTTTGTAAGAAGCTCTCGCCTGATTCCAGTCTCCAAACCTTAAGCAAACGACAAATATTCAACACAGATTTGCACAGCTTTCATTTTTTATTTTTGGAAGTCCTATTGCCGATGTTTGAAAAAGCCGTATAGATGACAGCCGCCAAAGCACTTGTACTAGAATGTCAATTGCTTTCGAGATCTTTGAAATGCAGAAACAAGGTTTGTATTCGGTAGAAACAAGGTTCATATGAGTCAGATTTTCATTTTGAACAACTCCAACTTCCACTTATGAAACAGATAGTGGTACCCATGATGACGCAGTTCATCTTTCGAACATCCTCTGAAAGTTTGCCGGCAGTAGAGTTAAAGTGGGGACCTCTAATTTTTGCTCAATCCAACATTTTTTCCATAATGGTTATTTTTGAGCAGATCTTTTTGTACAAAATAAGCAACAAAACGGTTAAACACGTGCCAAACAATCTCCAGATTTGACTTACTGCAGTGAAGTTGTTTCAGGTACTTCTTCCTTAGTGACAGCTAAGTCTCGCTATCCCTAATGGCAGATGGTATTGGGAACGTTACTATGACAGATTTTAGATACAAATCGCCGTTCTTATTGCACATTGCTCACTAGATTTCTAAAATTTTCAATAGCCGGAAATTTTTTTGGACTTTCTCGCGAACTTTATGCCCGCAGATAATTTTCTCTTCCTTCCGAATGAAACCCGCCAGTGTTACATAGCTCACGTATATGCACGTGTGCCTACCCCCCGCTTCCCCACTGTCGCTCCCTCTTTTTTCCTCCACCTCTTCATCTCTGCAGACGTCCCGCGCAAATGAGGAGCAACAACTTCAAGTTCCGACACGCTCAAAGCCAACGCGGGAATTCAAAATCGTGTTTGTAAGTAATAAACGTAGGGTGGTCAGGACATATGCCGCGGGCAGCTACAAATAGGTGACGTCGTGCCACGTGTAGTGACCTCATAACAAAGTCGTAATTTATTCTTTCCTCACATTATCTTTCAATATTTTTTACATAGATGCTACTCCAGTTTAAATCTTCGGGCATACGTTCCCAAAAAACCTAAATCCCTTTTTCTCCGCTTGATACACCAGGGTAAAGCCTTGGGCGTGCCTATTGAGCGATCAGATAGGGAGGGAGGAGGTGTTATGAGGTGATACCGATATTCGCGATAACATGATATTTGTTAAAAATGTCAGATCGGCACCATGCAAACTACTAGCACTTTGGTGCTTTGGCCTAAGATCGCATACGCACTTAAGCATAATAAAAGAGCCCTAGCGTAAAAGCATCATTTTCGTAAATAGCATGTTAACTAACCCCTGCGGGCCAAGTTTCAGCAAAGTCTGAGGATTCCAGATATTGGGCCACCCAAATGAGATAGTCATTTCCGACATATTAACTTTGCTTTAAAGTTGAGTTAAGTACTTTTTTGCACTGAATGCAAAGAACTACTACTTCTCTGCACACATTAGGAATCCCCAAACAACCTCTAAGCTACAGAATTAAGAGTGAGCCAAAATTTCGCTTGTTCTATTCTCCGCTTTCATTATATCAGACCAAGAAGACCAATCAGGCTCAACTCACTTTTTGAAAGTTAAGAGATTCAGGCTGTCGCATATATTTATTCTCGCCGCCTTTCCTGCAATTCACCTAGTAGCGCAGACTTGGCATGTTACCGTAGCCCAAACCTTTCGCAGTATTTTCCACATGCATAGGTATGGGAAAACGACTATAGTTCCGTAGAAATGTTTAAAGCTGATTTCGTCTTTTTTATTGAGCAATAGTTGCTGGAAGCACAACCACTGTAAGCTAAGGACAGATGAGATTTCAGCTGGTTCCTATTTCCATAGTTTAACGGTTATTCGAAGCAGGATTCAAGAATTTATGATATGGGCAAGCTGGGAATAGTGCTTTGTTTTGAGTACAAGAAGAATTAGCAATCGATCTACTGCATCTTTTAGCCTATATGGGCTCATAGATCACTTCAATCCCCTAATTTTCAGCTGAGCGCCCATTCAGACATTATAAGGGGCGTATACCTGCTCCAGCGCATACTAGTGGGCCCAAGACAGTCATTACGAAAATTATTGCGTCTATTCAAAGTGCTTGCGCTTTTTACTGCTCCGTGTTATTTTTCCTTCCGTTTCCGTTTTCCTCCTCAAGCATCTCATGGGACAGAGGGGACTTCGTTCTCAAAATTTTCTGGTACCACTTAGTGGCAAGCCTCACTTGAGTAGGAAACTATATTTCGCCGATATTCTCCACCCGGGGCGGACAGTCAGACAAATATCTGTATTGTCTGTAACATGCATGACTGTGTGATATGTTGCAGATGTCCGCATGGGGCCACCTTCTTTCGGCGACATATAGGCCCGTAGTAAACCCCTGTTCAGCGCAACTCGGCTGGGGGCTGGCCTACGCTGAACGTAGACCGCCTCAGCCCGGCATCCGGTGAGCTATTAATTTGGATGCTGATCGCCTTCTAGACGTAGTAATCTTGTACGTTCCCAAAAACTAAACTATTTGCGCAGGTTTGATCGAACGGCTATGTGAGTAGATTTCAACGCGTAAAACCATGGTTCGAAGCCGGCTAGAGGTAGATTTTTGCGCCACCGCGGACAACCTTTATAGTGGCCGCTATCGAGAAAAATCGATGGCGACCGCTATCAAGGATGTCGCCAAGCAAATGAATGGATAAATCGAGACTACCCTATCTTGACGAGGATATCACGAAAAACGAAAATTCTGGAACGTAGAGCAAATGAAAAAATCATAAAAATGCTCGTTTCAAGCAGTTTTTGAAGGAAAAAAGTAAGCAAGCTCTGAAAAGAGGAGAAATCTAAGAAGTCTTGTTTTCTTGCTTTTCTCGCCGCAATCAGCTGTTATTGATTCTATCCCAGTTAAGCCGCCGAAATTGTGCAATTTCGGGAGTTTTGCACCGCAGCAGTAGGTCAACCTATTTTTCCCGTAAGTTACTCACGAGCAATTTACGGGAAATTTGTCTGATATTCCTCTTTTGCACACTATCTCTCTCGGGTCATCCTAATATTCACCCTCGGATAAGTGGCATTCTGGTGAACTGACTGTGATGCTTGACCAGACGGTCTTCTGACTGTCAAACTGACTATCCTAAAGCACGGGAAGGTGGGCGGGATTAGGTTTACCCGAGGAAGTTCTTTTAAATGACTAATCTTAGGTGAACTGAGATGAATGGGGGTTTACTACGGGCCATAGTCCTCCATTTGCATGCGCATTTATGTATTTCATGCTGTAATCGCGGGTTTGTACCCCCTCAAAGGATCGAAGTAGTAAAACTGCTGAAAGCTTTTAACGATGCCAACATCATTTGCAATCACCATGCATTGATGTAGGTGCCGAACAACCTTGATACAATGAGTTACAACTTTAGAAGAGATCATTGATGAAGGTGCATTTGTTTTATCGAAAGCATGGCTGGCTCTGCCGTATTGACTTCCTAGCACACCCTTGAGAGCATGTTCCACACTTTGCCGAAAAACAAACGACTGAGAAAAAGCGACACGAAGATCTCAAGAAAGCGTACGAAGCATGAAAAAGCACGAAGATCGCAACCTATAAAATAATGCGCTTTGCTTATTGACCTTCTAATGGCTGGTGAAGCCAGAAGATGTGCACCGGAAGATCTTCTTTACAGTTTCTCTTTCATTCTCATTAAGAACATGTGCATGCCTAAGTCGAGAATTTTTTAGGGTAGGACAGAGAGGGGCGTGACATTAAAGGTTTTTGGAGAGGATACATGCCGTTCTCCCTTCTATTCTTTGGAAAGCATTTTTTAACCCTTCTATCCTTGTGGAAAGCTTTTTTTTGCAAACTTCTAGCTTTAAGTCTTAAAGAAAAGGCCTGAACCACGGCGCAGGAATTTACACGCTTCTTTTTTGCTAAACTTTGAAAATCATCCATTATCTATAAGAACTGATTATCTGTCCATAAAACTCATTTAGATCAATGACTTCGCGGCTCATCCTCTAGGGTGATGTAAAGGAGGGGGGGGGGAGGCGAGAGAGATACAGGGCTCCTAACAAGGCTCGGCACGAATCGGTTTCTAGGGTTTCTGAAAACGAAGCCTCCTGACTTTCGGAAGTTTTACGAAGTCCCCTTTAATCTACCTGCTTAGGAGAAGATGAAAACAAGAAGGATTTACTAGTCTGAAAGAAAAGACGTAAGATAAGAGTGAAAATCCAAATTGGAGCTGATTACTACGCATGCACAAGATTGGCATTAGAGCGCGATATTTAACAAAGCGAGAAGAAATGAATTCCAGAAACAGAAAGGCAATGATTTGAAAATGTCTTCATGCTCAGGGATAGAATTTGACCGGGGAATTCGCCCATGCTAAAAAGATCCGAAAATTATGTGAAGTGAAGAAAATATATGCTCCAGACGATCTCAGATCGTCTGGTGGCCGTCTGGAGACGATCTAATATTGGAAAATGTATAACTTTACATAAATTTTCAAATCTTTTTGCTTAATTCTTTTGCAAATAATTTTCTTAGTATACAGTTCAATTTTGGTGTCATATGATTTTGCGTGCTCCGTAAACAAGCAATTTTTTAATTTTAGTCCTGCTTTCAAATCGCGCGCACTTTCCGCCATACACGATAGAGCATGTCAATCATGCGATAACCTGTCCGAAAAGCTTGTGTTCGACTAAATGGCGCTTTTCATGTTGTTCGGCACCGATTCCTCAAAGACGTTATCGCGTTTGCTTTTTGCTCCAAAAACGAAGTCCAGCCTGCTTCCAGACGATCTGTGCCGGGCCCTGGCTCCTAAATTGCAGAGTCGTTTGCACCAGCGGTCGCGCGACCGCTGGTGCAAACGACTCTGCAATTTAAAAGTCCTGTACCTTACGCCGGCAATACTTCTACACAACGTGTTATCATTTGACTGAAATGGTTCATATGTATCCCAGTCCGAGTAGTAACTGTCCTGTATTGAAATCGTAAATATAATGACATACCATACGATTTCTCTTAACTATGAGTATGATCAATATATTCTTCCTTCGAAAAATCTCTGACTTGCGGAACTTACCACTGTGTGAATGACGGCGGCTCGTCACCTTCTCTGACCAAAGTAACTTGAGTCCATGATGGCAGGTTCTGCAACAGAAAAGCTCAGTGATTTTTTCGATTCAATGTATATACCTTTTGCTTGATATAGTTCTCTCCCCACGATAGAGCCTTGCGGCGCTCATTTATATTGCAACCACTGCCAACCCAAACGAATATACCACTGCTTGCGGCATCAAGAATGAAAGCATCCTATGATAGCAGAATTCTTAATTAAATACTTTTGACAATACCTCATTAAGGCGTAAGATTTCGTGACAAATGCACCATTCAGTGTTGAAAAAAAAACTAACCTGCGAATCCAGTTGGCTGTGCATTACCTCACCATCCGCTACTTCGCTTACTTCCATTCTTCCTGACGCATCAGATACTCTACAGAAGTTGATGTTTCAAAGTTGAAGAACTTATTAAGCTTGTTAAGTGATTACAGAATTATTACCTGTACAATATAACACCCTCAAAAGATCTCTGCCAGTAACTCTCGTCATCCTCTCTGGCGCTACCAATGTTGCTCGCATTGTCTACTCCTCCAAAATATGACCAAAAGGTTTCGTTTGTATCCCAGTCCGAATCTAAAGCGGTTAATGAATTTCCAGCTTTTCAATCCATCCCCCTACCTAAAACGTTGACATGAGCTCTGCAATGCCGTTCTTCCTGAGATATGTGTTTTGCGATTTCCATCCCCTGTTAATGAATGTAGAACTAATTATGAGAAAACGACATGTAAGCGCACCTTAATTTTCTCTAAACGGCCACATTCTGGGGGCATCCAAATATAGAGCTCTCTGCCAAGATCTAGGATGAACACATCACCGATGTTCAGTGATCTAACATCACAGTCCACCTAAAATCGTTTCTTGTCAGACTTGTCTCGGGTTTATGCTTTATGCAGAGTGTCATTGAAGTGCATACTATTTAGTGGTCAACGATTTTTTATGCCAAAATTCTTTGCAAAACTACAGTCCCGTTTTGAAGAACTGGCTTCAACCTAGTCCACAATAAAAAGTGCGGATTGCTCTCAACTGCCTTTAACACATTCACGACAAGGCCGATTTTTCGATTACTGCCGTTTCGGACCAGAGTCTTTTTTGCTTTGTCAAACGACCCACTTGTGGGTCGTACTGTCCGAAGTGGTAGTTTTTCAAAAAAAGATTTCAGAGCGTGTCTCCGAGAACTTTCCCAGAGTGGTTATCGAAGGTGCTCATTAACAAAAAACAATCTATTTTTTGGCAATATACGGTAAGGTTACGGTAGTCATTCTGTACGAACTCAACGTCATGGATTTCCATAAAAATGCATTTTGGGGTTATTTTATGTGCCTTGTTACGATATAGTGTCCACTTTGTTCGCTACTGTTCCATAGTGGGGCTGCGATAGCAGTACTGTAGAATTTTTGTGAGAATCAAGAAGCTGATATAAGAAGGCGGTATTAGAACCTGAGACTATCATATTCGTAGTCAGCATGCTACGAATATATGTAATATTTGAGATTCCTGGAATGAACAGCGCAAAAAATCAATAAAATCGATGGTTTTTGTTGGGCTAACATCCGTCTTTTGCTTGACCGGATTGCTTTACCTTTATTCACGGTATATGTACCGTAACATTACATTACAAAATCCCGAGCCCGGACCGCTCTTACTGGAGCTTCGCCTAGGTGTCCCCGATCATGCGCCAGAACACCGCAGAGGTCCATCGTAAACTGACAAAAATAGAGCTTCGGGAATGTTACGACCCATCGGTGGGTCGTATTGTCCGAAGGCAGAAGAGGAAGTCAGTCTACTAAGTTGCCCCACTTTCTTGGTGCACTGAAAACTAAAGCTTCCAAAATGCTTTGCTTCCAATCCATGCTAAGGTTAGCAAGGTGAACTCGTTTATTTTATTTTTGCGACGGCTGCACAGAACGCTTTACATGATAAATTAATATTGCGCTTATGTTCAAATCTGTGAAGATGCAAGGTAAAGTACCTGTGTACAGCGAACATTTCGTTTTCCTTTGCAATGAAACAAGCGCGGTTCGAAGTTGTCGAAAATGTCCTCGACATGATGGAATCCGGATTCATAGCCTCCATTCATGTATCTGGAAAATACTCCCTACTGGAACTATGCTTAGCAGTGATAAACTTTTACCTGACTCCATGAGGGAAGTAGGAAAGGAACAAAGACGATTCATGCTTTTGTACTTCTCGATGCTGTACCGGGCGCCCGCCTAGTGCGTCGTCAATCTTCACAGCTGCTATGGCCGCTGAACCCACCTCATCGGTGGTTGCATTTTCACCCAGCCAAAAATGCAAATCCCAGGTTTGATTCTCAGTTGTCTAAAATAATAAAACTTGCTTGATAAGTAGATCTTTTTTGCTCAAATCGTTTTTCGGGTGTTGTACCAGCAAATTTATCTTAAGATGCTGCTAAATGGCGAGCACTGAGTATTTACAAAGTTCTAGCAACCTATAGGAGATTACAAATCTATCAATAAGTGTTAAAGAGACTAAAGTTTCTTCCATGTTTCCTCCTTTCTTAACCTCGGCATAGTTAGTTATTGTGGTGAGTAGTTAGTATGCCAGCACGAGGTTAGTAGATTTATTGTTAGTAGTGGCGGCCTAACGTTTCGACGATTTCGTCTTCTTCAGAGGCCTAAAGTGGTAGGAGATTTAGATCTTATGCTCTACCCCACCACAAACCTCCTCCACCCCTGGCCAGCCTCGATTCCACCCCCGAATGTTACAAAGAAAAATACGCAAGTACGCAAAAGACGAACTGACCTCCTCCGCCGCTGCCGCCCAGGTGGATGTTGAATGCGGCCGTCCTCGAGTGCCACTAGTATGGAATACAGTGTATACCATATTGATATTAATCAGTGGCATTCTTCAACTCACATAATGCCATGAAAGGCATAAAGTCATTCGTGATTGACGCGCACTCATTTCGGTTGTTCATGCATGGATTTCTTGCAAAAATCCAGAATGCCTCGAGAGCTTTTCTACTAGCAGTATCAGACTCGTATTCCAGTATAGTGCGCGTAATTTCGAAGTCTTTACCACAATGGAATTCAACCCTATGTTTACCAAGCGGTGTGGTAAGACTTCCCCGTCTTTTGCTGGCAAGATGTTCTTTTATTCTTACCCAAAGCGGTCTCCCAGTCTCTCCGATATAAGTGGCGCTGCACTCGACACATTCAATCTCATATATAACTCCCGTTTTACCGCAGTCACCAACTTTACCGGATGGACAAACTACGCAGTCTTGGACTCTGCAGTAGTTGTCGTATAATCTGTTACGAACTAGCCGCTTTCTGATGTTATCACTAGGAATATCAACTAAAATGACATCGTCTTTCAAGTTCGCACGATCAATGCATCGCCGCACTGCAGCACTAGTCTCGTCAGAAACGAAAGGAAGGCAAAGAGGTACTTTCTGTTGGTGCTGATTGCTATGAGTGGAAATGGATGGTCTTCTGCGTCCTTTTTGGGGCGCGTAACCATTCATTCGAGCAATCTCCAGCGCCCTACTTTGTGATTCCTTCCGTTCTTCTTCTCCTGTGCATACGTTCGTTGCCGTTTTGAGCATGTTACGAGAGCTCTAAAAGCTCTCGAGGCATTCTGGATTTTTGCAAGAAATCCATGCATGAACAACCGAAATGAGTGCGCGTCAATCACGAATGACTTTATGCCTTTCATGGCATTATGTGAGTTGAAGAATGCCACTGATTAATATCAATATGGTATACACTGTATTCCATACTAGTGGCACTCGAGGACGGCCGCATTCAACATCCACCTGGGCGGCAGCGGCGGAGGAGGTCAGTTCGTCTTTTGCGTACTTGCGTATTTTTCTTTGTAACATTCGGGGGTGGAATCGAGGCTGGCCAGGGGTGGAGGAGGTTTGTGGTGGGGTAAAGCATAAGATCTAAATCTCCTACCACTTTAGGCCTCTGAAGAAGACGAAATCGTCGAAACGTTAGGCCGCCACTACTAACAATAAATCTACTAACCTCGTGCTGGCATACTAACTACTCACCACAATAACTAAAGTTTCTCTTGCAAGTACTTTCGTTCGTTTCATCATGAAGTATACTTTGTACAATACCGCTTGTAATTTGTGAAAGAAAAGAACTGAAGTGGACCCAGGCGACGGTCGGGTGAGTTGGGCAACAGTTGCGTAATTCGCGTGACTGTGGCCCGATTTAGACACCAACGTAGCGTGGCCTTCTCTCGCTTCAGAGTAGACGAACTCTCTGAATACAAGAACACCAGACAACTCAGCTCGGCGCGGCGTTCTATATCATACTGCAGAGTTACGGTAAGTACACATGAGAGGATGTCAATTTGCGGATTCGGAATTCGTCCACTCTGAAGCGAGATACGGTCACGCTACGGTGATGTCACGTGGATCACGCAACTGTCGCCCGACTCACTCAACCGTCGATCCCCGCAACTCGCTTCCCTTTCAACGAATTACGAGCGATATTGTATAACTTCTAGAAAGACTATTTTCAAAGAAGGAAGTTGTAGGCGTATTCCGGGCGGTACAACGTAGCTGAGCATGTGCTGACCCGTTCCTTGGAAGAAAACAAGTCTCAAAATGCCCAAAAAGCACATGCTTGATTACTGTAGAATTAGGCGTAAAAATTGAGCGTGAAGACGTGAAAGTTCAACCTTTAATTCTCGCTCTCGCCCTCCCCCAAAAACTATGCCTCGCTTTGCTTACACACAAGAGACAACAATAAGCCAGCATGGATCTCAAAATCATCAATTTGCGTCGATCAGAAAGCACTCGAAGCCTCGCTTTAATTCTAAGTTCCCAATAATGGGAGCACGTTCAAAAACTGCCAACTCCACTTTTTGTGTCATTTAGGAAGGCATGGATACATTGTGGTGCACTACGCACAAGATTCGAGAGACCAAAATTCCCGAGTTTACAGTCGATTATCCCATGGGAAAAGTTTTTCCCAAGAAATTCTTAACACACGGAATCCAAAAGTAACATAGAATCATAACGATAAATTCCTTGTTCACAAAGTCAGTAGATGCATGTAGGTCAAAATAATATAAGCCGCTTAGTTCATATATTAGGTCAGCACAAAAATTCGTTTTCCTTCAAAAATTCATAACTTATTTTCAAAACGGTTTTGCATGCTTTTGGAAAAAGAGATCATGCGCTCTATAACAGTACAGCTTTCCGATATGCACATATCGAGTAGATGGAAGCGGTAGAAGAAAATCACTCAAATTTTGATCCTCCTGTGTTTGTTCATCAAAAATTTGAAACTGCAGTAGAAATTGGAGAAGTCAGTCTTATGAGTTTTTTGCAATGCTTCTTCTAATTGAGCAAGATTGTGTTGATTAGATTTCTACACAAATTTATGATTTTCGAGAAAATTCCTATTAACAAGCTGTTTTGTATAGCTCGTTCAAGATATTAACTTTTCTTAGAGACGTTCAATCAGCGCAGACTTTGCTCACTTTGAAAAAGTAGATAATAAAAGCTATAATAGCGACCGCTCCAATCTTTACTGCAGTTTCCATAATTTTTACGATCAAACACAGAAAAACAAAATCTGAGTAGTTTTTTCCAACCGTTGCTATCATTGCAATGTATGGTCAAAGAAAGCCGCTAAGACACATCAATGAAGAGCATGATTAACCCTTACAAATAAAATTACATATGCAAATATTTTGAAAAAGAAGAAGAATTTGAATTTTTGAAAATGATTCGAACAAACTCTTGTGCCACTAATGATGCCACTAATGATTCCTGCAATCCTCATTTTATTCGACTATATCGATAATTTATTATCTTCCAAGAGGATGCCATTACGCTAAAAAGCTCCTTATCATGCGGGAATGGATCGAAAATTTCTCAAAAGTGGTCTGCGTTATAATTAACCATAGTTAAAAACTGCAGGCGAATTTTTTACTTGTATTAGGGTGTTTCATATTTTTTTACCGTTTTTACTACAACCGTCGTGTTTTTTGTTTCTTCCCTTCAATTAATGCGGCTTAAGTAATCATTTGACAGAGCAAAGCAAGCTCTACAAGATGGCTATCAAGACTCTGCCCAAATTGCATTTTACCTGAAGTTTTGAGCTGCAATATGATAGCAGTCGAAAACGAACTGTTTTGTCAAAAATCGTATCTCCGCCTTAAAGCACAAATTTTCCATTTCTGCACATCCTTGACTTAGCGAATATTAAATTGTACACTTTTCCTATTCTTTCCACGGCTAGAAATGAAAAAAAATTAATGGAGTGAAATGGCAAAGTCCGCCCCTAGAAGTCCTAAGCTCCTCCCACGCATGTGGTCATATAGCTCATACGTACAGAAGTATGACCATGTAGGATCATGTATTGTTACCTTTGTAGGTGACCCAGTTTTCGAAATATGCTGATGTCTAGGGTAAAAACGGTAAAAAATTGTGAGACACCCTAATAAATAAATATGATCTATGTCAGATATCAACTTCTCAAAGGGATTTCTCGAATCTGTCTCGACTCCCCTTTGCTAAGCGGAAATGGTAAAAAAATTTGGAAACCTGGAAATTTTTACTGTACAGCCCCAAAGATACAATATCAAACTGTAAGTGCAATATTCAACAACGTGCTCGATGACCTAGTGTCTTGAGCCCTTTCAAAAGAGGGGTGCGTAGTCACGTATCTACTTTGATTGCATTTGTTTATAGAAAATATTAGTTTTAGTATTAGCAGGATTATCTAACGGAAAAAAATTGATTAGTGCAGAATCACAATAATTTTTGAAAAAAAAACTGTCTTGTGTACAGCACTGCTCAAGCCAACTAAATCAAATTTTTATGTGGCTACAGATACTGAAAAGATCCGTGATGAACTACAATGTGGTGACTTTTGAAAAGCTGAATAAGCTGATCAGGGTATTAGTTGAGCCCCTCTTTCCCGTTCACCCTCTTTCTTCCTTTTCTTGACAGTGTAATTTGATGTCATGCCCTTTCAACTGTCAAAGAGATAATATTAGCACACACTTTTGAAAAAAAGCTGCAGTCAACACTGCGATTGCCAAACACAAATAACTGGCGTGTGGTTAATGTCCTTTTGTATTAAGAAGTGAATCCAATACGAAGGGAAGTGACTCCCTAAGACTATCACGGGTTAAATTGCGAGAAAGCCCCATATAGTCGAGTTACCACAAGTGCAATGTACCATTACTGAGCAGTATGAAACTGTGCGACATAACTTCCATAGATGCTGGACACATAAATACACTGAAAGCTAGAGAAAGGTAAACTCACATTCAGGCAAACATATGCATCACCTGTGTAGAATTGCCCATATTCGTTCTTTGGCACTGGGAGTAGATCGAACTCCTGGAAAAAGTAGATATCATACCTGTGCATTAAGCACTCCTCCTCCGATCTTTATAGCAAGAGGGATTCAGTCACTTCCAATGAGGCACCGACCAAGCAGCAGGAAACTGCCATGGAGCGGATGGACAACGCTTTCGTAATGACACGCATAAAACCTCAGATCCTCACACCCTATCAGTTTAGGTCCCACCCTTATCATAGTAAGTAACGAACCTCCAAATATTTGAAGTTCCAAAAAGCATAAGATATGGTCGGCATTTCAGTTAAAGAACATCAGAGAACAGAGTACATCTATCAAGTCCAATAAGCGTTTGTTAAATAAAAACTTTACCTTAATTCTCCAGATCTCCAAACCCTTTCGCCTACCAACAGCATCAAGATCGATATAAGGTGCCATCTTCTAATTCGGTCGGAACTAAACAATCAGATCTAGGAATAAAAATAGATATGGCTTTATTCCTTGAACTGGATGATCAGGAGAAAAGGAAAAATTTGAGCCCAAAAAAGAACGCTGATGAGGAAGTAAAACAATTTGATTATGTTGGAAATAAATTGTTGAGTTTTACGCAGCAATTTATCGTAGTACAAGTGCACAGAAGCCATCAAGAAAATGGAAAAATAGTCTGCTTGCTGGCTCAGCTGCCATAGCATTTATTATTTGTGGTGTGATTCACCGCTTTGCGACAGCAACATTGGAGTTCAAACGAATTTTAGCGCGTGACTCAGATGTGCAAGGAAAAATAGCCATGATATGATTTGTGTCAGTAGTATAGATACATGCCTAAGATCACTTCGTCGCACAGAACAAACATGGGAATTTCAAGTGACATATGGAGTGTTATTCTTAGAAACAAGGGATGAAACTATACAAATATTCGCATGCTGAGGAGCAGGAAATTTTTTCTGCCACAACATTTATTGTTCAAAAAAATCTGTAAAAATTAGTGAAAATTGACCAACTATTTAGCCCAAGCTTCGCTATCCCATACCAATCTTTCGAAATTGAAAAAAAGGTGAGCTTGGCGCTTGCTAGTTTTGCTGATGAAGCTGTAAAAAAGGAAAGTTTTGCCACCAATAAATGAAATCGATTTTTCTTGTATGGGTGCAGCCGAAAAACATAAAATCGTAAAGGTAATTCAATACGCTGCCGTATTTAGCTGTGAAAGTCAGCCATTATTTTGCCGTAAATTTATTTATCCTCAACAAAACTGTTCGATTTTTCTGGCTATACGCGGAATAGGAAGGGTAAGGGTTACTCCAAGCGAAATTAGCAAGGTAAAAATGCTCAATGCTTGTCAGTATTTTGGGGCGAGGCCAGTACAAGTGGACTCTTCAGTAGAGGTACATTACTACGTCATTTGTTGCAAAACTGTATTACAATATAACCAGTTGTCTGTACTCTTTTTATAGTCATTGGTCAGCTAAAATTATTACTTGGGGCAATTTTATAAAATCTAATAGTGTCCTAGAGTTCCTTTGTCGTTTCCTTTTTGCTGTCTTGACAGATTTGATTCTTTGTGATTTAATTCGAAGGAAGAAGTATTCCTCTTTGTAACAGTAGCTTGAGAAGCTTCTAATGCACAGTCAATGCAGAGATAAGAATGGCAAAGGAAGACCACTCAAGCTTTGTTAATTTGATATTGATTGTCAAAAATGTGGAGCTTTGCAGAAAAATCTGAAGTCATTAGTACGTAGGTTTTATGATTAGCCTTTTGTAAGTGTAAAAATTTTTTTGCTGCTTGGAACTCTATGAGAAGTTATGAATTTCGGGTTGACAATAAAAAATGCCAAGATCGATTTTTCACTTTTCTTGAAATTCATAGCTTTTCAGAGACAAAGAGTAGGTCATAAAACCTACTATGTACTCACAATTTCAATTTTTTGCAGCTTTTCAAATTTTTGACGACCTAACTCAAATCAGTCAAAGCTTGAATTCTGCTCCATTTTATCTCCACAATAAGTGTATAATAGAAACTCCTCAAAGTAGTCCCACAAAAAGGACGATTCCCTTTCCCCGTAAAATAATAAAGAAGCAAATCTGTTGTCAATCAGCGAAAGGTTACAAATCTTCGAAAATGAAACTATTGAACTAATGAAATAATCAGAAGCGTTACGCGAGAACTGTGGCCGTATTCACCATTGATACCTAGAGGTAAATTCTACCTCCAGGTAGTTTAATCACTCATTATCAGCAAAATTACATTAAGAATTTACCTCAAGGTACTTTGTGAATACGGGTACTTGCTGTTAATGAGTCATAAAACTACCTGGAGGTTGAATTTACCTCAAGGTATCAATGATGAATACGGCCACTGGAGTAAGCATGTAAAATTTGCCATTTGCAGGATTCTGCGACTGATTGTTTGAATTGGGGATTAGGTGTGACCTAACACTTACGAAAAAGCAGACAATAAGGATGTAATGAACCATAATTCCTGATAAAAAACAAATCTGTCACAAATTTCTCCAGCGAGAACATGACCTTACAAGGTTGATTTCGAGGTCGGGTCACCAGTGATGGCTGCTCTACAGCTTTGCTAGTGTGATCTACCTCTTTCGGAAAAAAATCATCTGCTTTGCCAAATTGGTTTTTTCGAGTTTTTTATTTTTATTGTTTGGTATGCCAAACAAATAAAATAAGTGTGAGCACTCCTTATCATTTTCCTTATTTTTGTTTTCGTCAAATGGTGGTGCTCTGCAGAGTGAACCAACGGATTGACCAATTTGAAGGACCGATGCTGCACGAGTCTCACAAGGGAATGGTCAGAAGTCGAAGTGGCCAAACCAAACAAGCTGTACACCATTCGATGCAGTATAAAACGCTGACTTCGAATCTGTCTTTCTTATCTGCTTCCCGCTTCTGTGAACGAAGCTACAAGCCATTGAAGACCATTATTTTGCTAAGAAATTACGCGTGAAATGGAAAATTTAGCCGTGCAGAGCCACGTTCGCCTTAACGCTGGGCCAAAACATGCGTCTAGCCTACTTCAAATTTTTAAAGAAAGAAGCTGAGTTAAAAGTGCAACAGTGTGCTCAATTTCGCTGTATTCATGTGTGATTTTTTCACAATAAAACCGCTTGTAGCTTCATCCACAGAAGCGGGAAGCAGATAAGGAAGATAGATTCGAAGTCAGCGTTTTATACTGCATCGAATAATATACAGCTTCTCTGGCTTGGCCACTTCGACTTTTGACCATTCCCTTGTCAGCTTTGAGTATTAGGTTGTCCCATAAGTCTTTTCGTATCCGAGTTTTCATCGACTAACTTAGTTCTCTTTAAATTCTTAATAACAAGCGGTGTACCATTCGACAGCAAAGCAAGCTCTACAAAATGGCTTTCAAAAGATCGCACTAGGCTTGATCCCCATTGAGTTTCACGCCAAAATAAATAGCTCCGAATTTCTAAAACAAAAATAATCGTATCTGAGTTCAAAACTATTCGCGAATTTCCTACTCGCTCACGCAACTCTCCCCATCTGATGCTAATACATACACTTGCCGCATCTGATGGCAAAAAATCAAGAAAAGATAAAACGATGGATTTTCAAAGTTTGCCTGCAGTGGTTCTGCGTTCCTCGCAAATATGTGAGCTTTTCGCTCAGAAATACTGCCACAAACTTGCAGCCTTTATATGCCCCAGTAATTGAGAAATATCAAATTGAAGGTTCGAATATGAAAACATTTGTGGGACAAACTAATAAATGTACTCATTCGCTCCAGCCTCAAATGCGCCTACTAATGCAATGGTGCGATTATATGTACTTATATGTACCTAATTTTTATTGAAAATTAGTTCAAAATTTTGTTGACAAAAGGATCGCTTCTCCACTGGGGAAAGCAATATTTTTTTGAATGTGATCGTAACCCACACTTGAAAATGAATTACACTGTTTATTGATGTTGATATCGTTCAGGAAAAGGGAGGTAATAGAATTTTTAAAGAAAAGATACGGACAACTGAGGACTTGAAGTGCAGTCATTTTTTGTTTGGATTGTTGCCGTCGTGCACTTTCGAATCTATTTGCATGAATACTGATAACAGCGTTTTTTTTTTGTATTTTCAACACATTAAGCACTTGAAAAGACTTCTAAGAAAAGAGTTATAAATATGCAAGGGTAAGAACATGAACGATAAGCACAAAACTGTGAGCAACCAACGTCGAGTAGGAAGGAACGTTAGCTGGAATTTCTTTGGATTGGTTCCAAAATTTGATAAAAATACATCGCACATCTTCACATAGCAACGAGAAGCAGTGAAAACTGATGGTCACGAATGTATCTCTGCACAAAAGCCTTGAGAGTGCGCCTGGTTTTTCTAGGTTCTTGCTGCGAAGAGTGCGATTTTCAAGGATGACCAGTACGAGGAGTCACCAAACACGACGCCCTTGGTTTTTGCCGCAGTCACAAAAACAAGGTGAGTTCGAAGAGGTTGAGGTTCGAGTTTCGACAGTGAAAATACCGTCACTCTGAATTTTATTACCAAAGAAAGCACCGCAGCGGCTAAAACCTCCAGTCAGACGTAATTAGCTGGGGTCCGTCAGTGGATGTCAAATGTCAAGTTGAAAATAGTCCTACATTTGCAAAGGGGCTACCTAGTCACGCATTGTATGCATGATGCACTTTTAGACATGTTCAATCCCTTGAGGACCGGCTTTTTGCACGATTGACGTGCCTCAGCTATGATCGTGCTCAAGACGCCAGTTTGAAAAACATTCCATTCTCGAACATTAAAGGCAATGGATCGGCAAAATCCAACAACTCGGAGTTTTAACGCGGTAGGTTCCTTATCGCTCAAGTATGAAAACAGTGCAATCCTTGTTGCACAGCATGCTTTCCCTGCCGAGAAAATCGCTCTCAAACTTACACGCGCAGGCCAATCTTACACGCATCTGGACGAGTTGGCAATTTCCTTCTCACCATTGCAGGCTGCCCGCCGCAACGCTATAACCATTGGGTCCTGCCACGATTTAGCGTCATCGGCCTGGCTCCACTCGTCCAATTTCAAAGGGAAGAGCATTGAAAAACGCTCATTTTCGCCGTTTTCAAGCTTTCAGTGGATTTTTGGGATCAGCGCATTGAAAAACCTCAGGTAAGCGCAAATTTGACTAGGTTGGGATTTGCAGCCACTGCCTTTAAGTGGAAACGATCTTTTCGCACGACCAATCTCCAGCGCCACCCTGACGCCCCATGTCTTAACTTGTTGCTCACGCAGCAAATCTTTCCTTGAACAATGCTTCGCTTAGGCAAAAGCCGCCCACAGGCTATGTTGCGCACGGCGGTGGCCCCGTACTGAAAGCATGAAGGCATTACGTTCGTACGAAACACCCTACACCCGTAAAAATGAAACTTTAGCACATATGAGCTTATGCTATAGTCGTCCTCACCCCACTAGTCGGTCGGTGGACGAATTCGAATTCGAAGTGGAGCAGGCAGGTCGCGGCAGAGCACGGCACCTTAGCTCTCCGTCCAAAGTTACGCATTCACTTTGCGCTTTTCTTCGCCATTGCTCAAAAGTTTTTGGTATTGTTTCAAAGTTTTTGACCTATATTGAGTTTTTGTAATTGCTGAATGTAGTCTCCTGCCGCTATGCTCGTATTTTGTTTAAGTGAGCCTTTGGAAACGATGCAGATGGCAAATAACATACAGTTCACTGGAGCAACACTTCTGCATATGATACTTACTAAGAAATGTTTTACAGCATAAGTTCACCATCTGTATTGTTTCTCCAGGTTTACCTGCAATCAGAGTTGAAGAAACGAGCTTAGCAACACGAAATAACTTCCGACAACAACGAAATTGTCACTCTCTACAAACATACCTATAGTATAGAGACTAGCGAGTAACGACCAATAAAAACGATAAAGAAACACACAAAATCATAAGGGGGGGGGTTCGGATGCCACGCTCTGCCGCGACAGGGCAGAGCGTAGCGCCAATATCAACAGTTTAAATTTAAATTCGTCCACCGACCGACTAGTGGGGTGAGGACAACTAAAACAAATTTGGTACGTAGACGGACAAGTGCTAGGAACAAATAAAAAATCTGTGAGATGATTATGTGACTGAATGGTGCGGTAAGCCTTTTTTTCTGGAATTTTCCCATCACTTTCCCATCAAGGGGAGTGTAATGGGTAGGGATGAGGTATATAATCAGTACCATAATCGTCGAATATCACTTGACAATGTCACCAAAATATCAACTGCCACGCGGGTCTTCAGAGTGACGGAGTTATGCACGAGGAGATACCTCAAACTTGGGTAATTAAACCTTTATCAACAAAAATAAAATTCAAATAAACGATATTGCAAGCGAAATATAGTACCAGCTTAACATGAGATTCTTATTGTGGCAAAACGGCAGTAATAAAATACCATTGATTTGTTTTGGCCTAAATGAACTGAAAGTCAATGTGAGCAATGATATATTGGGTAAATAGCAAGCAGGACTAACTGTATGAAGCAAACGATGAGCAGTGACGCGCGATTCACCGTAAGGAGGAGATTACCAGCTGCGAATTCCTCGCTCCTTTTTCATACGTGCAGCTGCAGTCTAAAGCATTTAGAAAAAAGACTAGCTGCTGCGCTCGAACACTCACATTGCAAGTAAGAAATACAGAACTATCCTACTATAATAACGCGCTAAGGCCGTCTGTTTTTTGTGTGTGTGCCTGTGTGTCTGTGCGAAAATCTGTCACGAAATTCATAGAGGAAGCTGCAACCAAGCTATCGGGCTGCAATTTTATATAACATCCCGTGCCAGCGTGTAGGCCACCACGCACAAGGACGAGCCGGTTTGATAAGCGGGTCCCTCAAAATTTGCGCGTCAAACGGGTCCACGCGCCTTATTCGACTTTTTGCAAAGTTATGATTTGCCTGACAAGTAACTCTGCGCACCATGAATTCTAGCCCAAAAAGTACTCAAAAAGTTTGCTTTTTTGCGAAAACAGCGCCAGAAAGTGATGAACGCGTAGATAGTCGATTTGGTAAGGTTTTATTTGAAAAAACTGGAAAGATTTTTGCACAGAAATGTAGCCCAAGGTGACTGTTATCCCTATAACGATATCAAACCAAAATAAATTTAGTGATCCGTT